TAGCAGGGATGTTATCTTTGTAGAAGATAAGCTACAAAGAAAAGAAGACAATGACAGCGCTGAAAAGTCAGAGACTACACAGATACATGTAGAAAAGGAGTTTGAACAAGGAGATTCTTCTGAAGCAGAACCAGCACATGATGAACAAGAACCAGAGAGTTCTGAAGCTCCAACAACTCGTCAATCAGATCGTGTGAGAAGACGTCCCAATTGGCACTCAGATTATGTTATAGAAGGAAATGTAGCATACTGTCTTTTAACAGAGGATGGTGAGCCATCAACATATCAGGAGGTAATAAACAGCTCAAATGCTTCACTGTGGATGATGGCGATGCAAGAAGAAATTGAAGCCCTTCATAAAAATAACACATGGGACCTTGTGCCACTACCACAAGGAAGGAAGCCAATTGGTAACAAATGGGTTTTCAAAATCAAGCGAAATGGTGACGATCAAGTGGAGAGGTATCGTGCAAGACTGGTGGTCAAAGGATATGCTCAGAAAGAAGGTATTGATTTCAATGAAATTTTTTCTCCTATGGTTCGACTAACAACAGTTCGAGTAGTCTTGGCAATGTGTGCTACATTGAATTTACATTTGGAACAACTAGATATTAAAACAGCTTTTCTTCATGGAAATCTTAAAGAAGAGATTTATATGCTCCAGCCTGAAGGTTTTGAAGAAAACGAAAAGAAGAACTTGGTTTGCAGGTTGAACAAATCTTTGTACGGTCTAAAGCAGGCGCCGAGGTGTTGGTATAAGAGATTTGATTCCTTCATTATGTGCCTTGGATACAACAGACTTAATGCAGACCCTTGTGCTTATTTCAAGAGGTTTGGTGATAACGATTTTGTTATATTGCTGTTGTATGTGGATGACATGTTGGTTTCAGGACCCAACAAAGATCATATTGAAGAATTGAAGGCACAACTGGCTAGGGAATTTGAAATGAAGGACTTGGGATCAGCAAACAAGATTCTAGGGATGCAAATTCACCGAGACAGAAGTAATAGGAAGATTTGGCTTTCACAAAAGAATTACTTGAAGAAAATCTTGTCACGATTTAGCATACAAGATTGTAAGCCAATTTCTACCCCTCTTCCTATTAACTTCAAATTATCCTCCAGTATGAGTCCTAGCAGTGAAGAAGAGAGGATGGAGATGTCTCAAGTACCGTATGCATCAGCAGTGGGAAGTTTAATGTTCGCTATGATATGCACAAGACCAGACATTGCACAAGCAGTGGGAGTGGTTAGTCGATATATGACGAATCCAGGCAAAGAGCATTGGAATACAGTAAAGAGGATCCTGAGATACATTAAAGGGACCTCAAATGTTGTATTATGTTATGGAGGATCAAACTTACTAATCAATGGGTATGTAGATTCTGACTATGCAGGGGATTTGGATAAAAGGAAATCTACTACAGGATATGTGTTCAAAGTTGCTGGTGGAGCTGTAAGCTGGGTTTCAAAATTGCAGTCAGTTGTGGCTACATCCACAACAGAAGTAGAATATGTAACAGCTACACAAGCAGTAAAGAAGCAATTTGGTTGAAGATGCTATTGGAGGAGCTTGGGCACAATCAAGAGTATGTCTCTCTGTTTTGTGACAGTCAAAGCGCTTTGCATCTAGCAAGGAATCCAACATTTCATTCAAGGACAAAGTACATACGAGTTCAATATCATTTCATTCGTGAAAAGGTGGAAGAAGGGACGGTAGATATACAGAAGATCCATACCAAAGACAACATAGCAGATTTCATGACGAAGGCGATCAACGCTGATAAATTTACTTGGTGTCGATCCTCTTGTGGCCTGTCAGAGACGTAAGCAACATGATGGTATAAGGTAGAAAGAATGGTGTGAAGATATGATTGTTCCAATCAAATCTTCAAGTGGGAGATTATTGACTAAGCACCGAAAGGTGCATATAATAAATGCACCGAAAAAATGAGTTGTTTTTGTTGATTTTTGGACAATGGCTAAATCATAATTTAGTCATTAAACTTTAGGGTATTTACAAATTAGTCCTTAGGTTTCAACTATAAATACCCTAGCTCATTTAGCTTCAAAACCATCCCAAAGCATTCTAGCTTTCTTCCACTACTAGAGAGAATTTAGAGAGTTTCTTGAGAGTTGTTTTCTCCTTTTTTTATCAAGAGAGAATTATCATTGTTTTCTCCTTGGTAGATTGAGAGAAGTTGTAATTCCTATTTTCTCATAGTGAAATTCTTCTACCGTTGCCCGTGGTTTTTACCCTATTTAATTTACGGGTTTTTCACGTAAATTTTGTGTCTCTTTTTATCTTCATTTTTATTTTCTCAAATTATCAGTTGCGATTTTGCTCTATCCGATAGCCGTCTTCCGCAACACTCCGGAAATCTCATTGTTACTGATGGAACAGGTGATGCAGATTCGGGGAACTTCATTTGGCAGAGTTTCAATTATCCATGTGATACATTCATTGCAGGCATGAAGATTGGAAAGGACTTCAGAACTGGCCTGGACCAGTTCTTGACATCATGGACAAATCCTGATGATCCTTCACCGGGTATGTTCGCATACCGGTTTGAGCTATCCGGTTTTCCAGAGGTTATAGTAAGAGATAATTCCACCATAAGATTTCGTTCCGGACCTTACAATGGCCTGCGGTTAAGTGGTATGCTTGAAATGAAAGAAAATCCTATTTATACATATGATTTCGTTTTCAATAAACAAGATCTATACCTAACTTTCAATCCACGCAACAGTTCAACTCTTTTAAGGGGAGTGCTAAGTAGTGAGAATGGATCCATAGTTCCCTTCATGTGGAATGATCCGAATCGAGTTTGGATCCAAAATCTTCCGCTTTACATCGAATATGCATTGTGTGGTGCAAATGGCATATGTGAAAACAACAGGTCCCCTGTTTGTAGTTGCTTGTCAGGCTTTTCACCAAACAATCCCGAGGAATGGAATGCAGTACCAGGGTCAGGTAGCTGCGGGAGAAACACTCAACTAAACTGCTCCGGTGACAGATATAAGGGTCTCCGATTTAAAAGTGCCGGAAATCAAACATTCATGGTATAATTACAGTATGAACTTACAGGAGTGCAAGGACCTGTGTTCTTCAAATTGTTCGTGCACAGCTTATGCTAATTTGGACATTACAAATGGAGGAAGCGGGTGCTTGCTCTGGTTTACTGACCTTATCAATATGAGATATATAAGCGATAGCGGTCAAGATATATATGTAAAGGTTGCCGCATCAGAAATAGGTATGAAATATCCTCTATTCTTGAAACTTGGGTCTTTCTATTCCGTACAGATTTAAACGATTGCTTGTGTTATAAGGTAAAATATCGGATTACCTTATTCTTGTTTCATTGATGTTCTGCTATTTGCTTTCTATACAGCTCAAGACGAGAGCACAAGACTTGCCACGAAAGAAAAAAACAGAACAAGGATCATAGCAATGTCGTCTGTACTGTCTGCAGGAGTGCTGATTGCAGTCCTAACCGTAGTCTTGTTTCTGCGAAGGAAGAAGAACCTTAAGGGTAAAGCAATTGTTTCATTTTCGAACTCGTTTCTCCAATGCTAATGGTGTTAATACATAATTTTTACTCAACTTTGCTATTTCATAGGATTGCTGGCACACAAATCATATAACTTTTCTGATTATCAAAGTAGCAAAGAAGATCTAGAGTTACCATTATTTGATTTAAGAGCTATCGTTTCTGCAACCTATAACTTCTCATTCAAGAATATACTTGGTGAAGGAGGTTTCGGATGTGTCTACAAGGTAACTATATGATAAAATGCCATAAAAAATACCATACAAACGATTCCAACTTCTATATTCTTACCCAGCAATGATGAAACAACCTTTGATGAATGATTATGTGCTTTTTTTAGGGTTTTTTGAAAGATGGACAAGAAATTGCAGTGAAGCGGCTGTCTAGGAGTTCTAAACAAGGAATCAATGAGTTCACAAATGAAGCTAAACATATTGCAAAAGTTCAGCACAGGAATTTAGTGAGGCTTCTCGGATGCTGTATTCAAGCAGATGAAAAGATGTTGATCTATGAATACTTGCCAAACAAAAGCCTCGATTTCTTTATCTTCGGTACGTCTTTTATCTGCTCCAAGAAGTTCATTTTGCTTATGTCCTTATCTCAATCTCCAGATTAAACTATATTCAAAGATCTAACATGCAATAAACAATGGCTTCTGTTAAGATCAAACTCAAAGCATGTCGCTAGATTGGTCAACACGCTACCAAATTATCAACGGGATCGCTCGAGGGCTCCTTTATCTCCATGAAGATTCGAGACAAGAATAATACATAGAGATCTGAAAGCTGCTAATGTGCTATTAGACTATCTCCAAGCTTGATTTCTTAGATTTCGAGTGTGTGTTTTCTCAGTGGTTACATGTCTCCGGAGTATGCGATTGATGGACTTTACTCGATCAAATCCGATGTTTTCAGCTTTGGAGTTTTGGTTTTAGAAATAGTGAGTGGGAAAAGAAATAGAGGATTCATTCATCCAGACCATCACCAAAACCTTCTCGGACATGTAAGTGTCTTAACTATAAAACTCATAAATCTAAGATGCAAGTGCTATAAATGTTAAGAACAATATTATTTGTATAGGCGTGGAGGCTGTTCTGCAACGGGAATTCAATGGAACTGGTCTCCGATTCGATCAAAAACACCTGCAATCCCTCGGAAGTACTGCGATCTATTCAGGTCGGCCTGCTATGCGTGCAACGCAGTCTCGAAGATAGACCAACTATGTCAAATGTTGTACTTATGTTAAGTAGTGAAGTTCTTTTGAATCAGCCTAAACAACCAGGATTTTTCAACGAGAGAGATCTTATTATTCTTCATCAGATGTTCAAAAACATACTTGTTCTAATGATTTCTCGTTTACAGTAATTGAGGCAAGATAATGCATATTTCATGTAACGCTTGTGTATTCTTATCTTCATTGTAAAAAGAAATAGCTTACGTACTGGTATTAATTCCATTCATTCCGATACAAATCATTCCCTGTGTCCATAATCCTCCAGTTGACTTACAAATTTGTCCACCCAACCACCATTCCTCCCCGGATCTCCAAAACAACCCTTCATTGCTTTTGCCATTTCTCTCAACCCCTTGCCTGATTCTTCCAACACCGCCGCCCGAACCGACTCGGCCACCACCTCGCTCGTGAACCATCCATCTGATTGGTTTCTCGGTATCTCTAGACCCACACCTATGTTCTGGAACAACCTGACATTTAATCCTTGGTCATTCAACATTGGAAGCATTATCAGAACTCGGCCCAACCTCAATGCCTCTATAACCGAGTTCCAACCACAGTGGGTCAAGAATCCCCCAATCGACTCGTGACTCAGTATCTTCACTTGTGGCGCCCAGCCCAAGTAAAGGAACCCACGTCCCTTGACTCGCTCCTTGAATCCATCCGGCTGCATTTCCAACTCTGACTCGCTTGTTCCAGGTGTGTTCTTCAGTACCCAAAAGAAAGGTAAACCTGATTCCTCCAACCCGTTAGCCAACTCACCGAGTTCTTCTTTACTTAACCCCATCGCTACGTAAACCACTGAATTGACTCTCTGTTCATCTAACCACTTTCTAACACAAACCCATTTTTCATCGTCCAGGATGTCATCTAATTCTTCCGGTATCGGCGGTAAAAACCCAACCGGCATCACCGGTTTTTCATACAGCCGCCCCAAAAGATCGAGCCACTCCGGTTCGAACTCGGCTGAGCTTCTAACGACAACAACTTCACTCTCTTGAATCGTAACACCGAATCGGACAGTGTCGGGTGGTCCAAAGTTATCCTCGTCCGTCCGTTGGAAATATTTAATTATTTCATGCAAACGGTAAGCCAGGTTGGATTCGAAAGGAACCCAGCTGGGAACTTTCGTGAAGTCCTCACCCGTCGACCTTGCATCATCTCCACCGCTACCGATCAACGTGGACGGTGAGCCCATGAAGGATAAGCATGCAGCTGAGAAGACAGCGAAGAAAGCGCGCGAGACACCTAGCTGCGCTGCCACAGAGGGAAGCCAATAAGAAGCGTAGTCGTAGATTATCCAATCGGGTTTGGAGGATTGAAGGAAAGAGGAAAGAAGCGGTTTTAGGAGATCGAGGGCGTGTTTGAGTGATTGCTGCTGGTTATGATCAGTGATGTCCATGGAGGATTCGGCGAGGTATGGTAAGTTGGGAACTGGGGGCAAGGGGAAGGAGATTAGGGTCATGTGGGAAGATAGATTTGATGGGATTTTTGGAAGTTTAGAGAGGTTTCCCGTGGTCGAAACGAAGGAGATTTTATGACCCTTCAAAGCTAAGAGCTTGGAGAGACGAAAGAAAGGGATGAAATGACCCATTGCAAGCCATGGGAACATCACTATGTGCAGAGATTTCCTGTTATCCATTGAATTGGGAATGGGAATAAACATACTCTATGGTCAATAATTCAACTAATATATTTAAGTTTCAACACACGACCTCATATATATATATGGTGAATCCTCCCCTGCTTGATGAAGCATGAGAGCATATATACATACATGGATACTCTGAATGCCGAGGCATTGACAGCTTCGTGCACTCAAAACCATACCATTTAATCCCAACAATCTAAATCTAATATACTGTAGATAAACAGGCAAAAACTGCAGATTTTTATAGTTCGTGCTAATTCGACAGAAACTAAAAGAATGTACAGGGGACATATAAGAGTTTTATCCTCAAAATAACACTGGTATCCTTTCATTATTGATATACCCGATTACATTTGTCAGCCCAGAGTTTAAGGCTTAAGATCAAAGCATAAAAGAAAAAAAAATCTAAATGGCATCTCATTTTGGCTTTCCAAATAGTTCAGATAGAGTTAATTCAGGAATATTGTAGTTCTACTAAAAACCTGACTTTGTATTACCGAGCATCCAAGACTGAAAATGTTACATCATTTACAGAGCAAATTTCAGACCTGCTCTGTTTTGCCATGTCTTTCGTCATTCTTGTTGCATTGAAGAAAGCTGGTTGTTTAGGAGAAAGTAAGACCGAGCTTTCATTGGTAAGCATCGAGAAAACATCGGACATGGTCGGTCTATCGTCTGCAATTTCTTTGACGCAAAGTAGCCCTATGTTGACATATCTGATTGCCAAATGTGTAGGCATTTTCTCTAGCGTTGGATCAACTAAGTCCACTGGACTGTTGCTGGTCCACAAACTCCATGCCTTCAATCACAGGAAAAAGAAAGAAAGAAAAGAAAACAGTATTTGAGTTGAATGGTAATACAGTTTGAATTCATGAAGTAAAACTGTTAATGCCGTTTAGAAACTCACGTGGGCGAGAAGTTGGAGAGAATTAGACTGATAAAAACCAGTGTTCTTCTTCCCACTCACAATCTCCAGTAGCAAGACTCCGAAGCTAAACACATCAGATTTCACTGAAAACAGGCCTTCAAGAGCATACTCCGGGGCCATATAACCACTGGAAGTGAATGTTCAACTCAAAGTTGTTAATAATTGTGCACAGTTATGCGATGTAAAGCATAGTCAGTGACACAAATTACAGTCGGGGAGTTTATATCACGGGGAGGGGGATTCCATTGTTCATTGTTTACTTACTAAGTTCCAACGACTCTAGTTGTATTTGCTTGTAATTCCTCCCCCAAAAAAATTCTCGCCATTCCGAAATCTGAAATCTTGGGATTCATGTTGCTATCCAACAGAATGTTACTAGCCTTCAAATCTCTGTGAATGATTCTCAATCTAGAATATTGATGAAGATATAGAAGCCCCTGCACAATGCCTTCAGTGATCCGAACACGAGTCTCCCAATCAAGTACCCAACGTTTGACCAAATCTGTAGTACATCAGGATGTTGCTAATCAGTATTCTATTGGTTTCCAAGTAAAAAAGGATTGAAAACAGATCTAAACATCTGATGAAATACCAACCAAAAAGGAAAAAGTCCAAGCTCTTATTTGGCATGTATTCATAAATTGGTATCTTCTCATCTCGTTCAAGGCAACATCCTAAAAGCCTGACAAGGTTCTTGTGCTGGAGTTTGGCTATGACAAGTGCTTCGTTTTTCAACTCCTCCCATCCTTGTCCAGATCTTCTTGATAGTCTTTTGACAGCTATCTCATGACCTTTCAGTAATACTCCCTGAAATTAATAAGCCCTGGATTGGTTTTGATTTAAATTGCAGTCCATGTACATGTTTTTGGCCTGGTAACATTTATTACAATTGCAGATCTAATCCGTCTAATCGTTACTAGGGACTCGAAAATATAACATAGCACAGTAACGTCTTGTTGAAATCATTGGTGAACCCTGCAATGATAAGGAAAAAGTTCATACCTTATAAACAGGTCCGAAACCGCCTTCACCAAGCTTATTTTCCACTGAAAATTTATCTGTTGCAGCAGAAACGCTTGCAAAACTGAATAGTTGGAGTTTTGATTTGTTTTTTTTGACGAATTCCAGGCTCCTTTTCTTCCTTCAAGTCTGTATCATCAGCTTCTAGGCTCACTGCCAAATCAAATTTTAGCAAATCCTCCCCTGAAAGTTGCAGAGAAATGAACTTACAATGTTATATATGAACACTACTCGGTAAAGAATATAAAAAGGGACAGAGTTTTACCTCTCGGCTGAAGCCTTCTTCTGATGAAATAAATGACAAACCCCAAAACAAGCGTAAAAAAAGATAATGTTAGTACGACAATTATCCAAAGCTGCCTGTTGTGTCCTTTGTTCGTTTGATCTTTTGTTGTTCCATTTGTTGAATTTGTGTCTACGAAACAAAATCGAATATGTAAGGACCCAAAGAAGAAAAACAGAATCCAATACAAAGTTAATGCATATTTCAGATCATAATTGTTATTTGTCCTACCATTTTTAATTAGCTCTGAAGCTGCAAGCTTGAGATAAAAGTTATTTCCATCAACATCATCTTGTGGAAGTTGCTTGAGATCGAACAAATCTCCATACCAGACCAAGCATCCAAGCTTGAGCTCGACGTCATAAGCATAAGCAGTTCAAGAACAGTTTCTCAAACACTCAGATTTGCAGTCTGCTGCATTACTAATAAGTTTTAACTCATGTCCACCACTTGGATAATCTACAAAAAAACATCAAAAGAAACCATCAATCTGAACTTGAACTTCTTCGGTGCTGCACTGCAAGTCAGCTTTTCTCATGCAACCTTCAGATTCCCCATTCTTAATAGGTTCAAAACCTTCCAAACAGCTGCACGGTGTTTCAGCAGTGATGCTGCAAATGCTGAAAACACCACATTGATGATACGGACACATTGAAGACTCTAATGTATGCCAACGTTGGTCATCTTCAGACCAAGACTGTAGCTTAAGCTGCCCAAACTCATCCAGTACAATCTGTGTAACCTCAGAAGTATTTGGAAATTTCCAATATCCCTGACGTGACAGATCAAAACTTAGAAAGAGATTTCGGTTATCAGTCCAGTATGTTTTGAAACCCTTCTTAATAAGTAAAATCCAATCTCTTAGTTCCAAAGAGAATGAACCGGGGGCTGGATCCTCCGAAGTTTTCCACGACACTAGCAACCCATTATGTCCAAATAATCTATCATCTTGAAGAGTCATTCCAGGCAAAATAGTATTTGTTTCATCCTTAAAACTTTCCCATAAAACTTGTAAGCTACCATGATCGAGCAAGGCAAGGTTACCTGAATCTAGTAGCTGTGCATAAGTGTTGCGGTTGGTGATACCGCCTGTCACATCATAGACCGTCCTGTCATCTGAAATCACAAGCTTTCCGTCGTCACTGATGCTAAGATTCAAGGATTGCCCGGGGAATGGATACTCTCTGTTAGCTACCCAAACAATGCTTCGGTTAGACACTTTATGCCATATGCCAACATAGTACTTCGAGGTATTTCCTGGAGAAAAGAACCCAAGTTCGAATCTCCCCCCAACTGATATAATTGTATTGGGATATGTAATAGGCTGACCTTTTTCAATCGTATTAGCGCCATTGATAACTTGGAAGGCAAGGAATGGAAAAACCAACAAGTTGAGAAGAGAGGCAAACCTACTTCTCATGTTTTTGTCTGAAAGTGGCCAGCCACAAAAAAGGTCTTTTCATTGCATTCTACAAATTTGACACCCAAAAAAAAAACCATAGTTTTGTTTGACTTAGTCCATTGATCAGATAATATTCTAATGCCATGAAAGATTACTTAGGTATTCAAAATGTTGAAAAGTCACCTGAAATTTCTTCCGACAAAGATGGTGATTTGATTGAATATGTAAAAATAGACCAACTAGAGGAACACTAACTTGGTCAGTAAACAATAGTGAATGAAATTTCATGTAGCAAAGTGTCATACATTCACACAGTTCATTTTTTTTTTTTTCTTGTTGATTTACTTTTAGAAGTGTACTTAACTTACAATTACAAATACAGCAATATCAGATGAATTAGAGAAAAGTATGTGTTCTACTGTACTTGGTCTAAAATCGTGATTCTAGACGAACCAGGAAATGAAGCAATAATTTTTTCTGATCATAGTTTGGTCAAAGGCTCCTTTAATTGAATATAGGAGTCAATCTTTTGGTAATAACAAGCTTAGTTTGTCAAAACATGCTCTGCATGACTTTTCAATAATGTACAAACTTCCCAAGTAAATCAGGAATTTCTCTCTTTCTCCAAGAATTGTTATAGTGGCTGCATTGTAACTATGCATTATTCGATGCAGCTGTATCTGTGTTCGAACTCTTTTCGGCAAAGAAACATGGCTCTTTCGGGTGAGGAAGGTCGAGTCTCCATTTTGTAACATAAAATTTGCAGATGACATTGTTGGCCTATCTTCAGGAAAACTCTGAACACATAATAAGTCTACATGTGTACATCTTAGAATTTGAGATTCAACGACCAGATCCTTCAAACATGTATGGATCAACTCCAAGGCCTTGCCTTCATCCAAAGCAGACATGGTGTCTGCAATAATTTGATATATATACAGGCATTCAAATCCTCAAATGATTAAGGTAATGTATCTCTCATTGTTTTACTATAATTTTTTATTAAGTTTCCGGATGACAGATCCTTCGAACTTTTCCATGACGATAAAGATCATTCTAATCCTGTCTTTAAGCTCTTCCCCAACTTCATGCATGGCAATAATGTGTCCGATGGATAGTCAAAGCTCTGCCAAAGATATGTTTCGGATTTCCAGCTTATGTTCTGTTTGAGAACAAAGTTTCCAGAATGCAAGAGGTGTGCAACCGGAGCTTCTGCTTTTCTAGGGACCATCGAAGACCAAATGGTGCTGTTTCTTCCATCAAGTATAAGATTTCCATCACCAGTGTCTCTTCATCAACGTTGGATCATGCCGGAGTCAGCGTATCAGCTGCAAACTTGAACTGTATGTTTAATAACAGAATCAAAGTGTACGCTACAGCGCTTACCATATGCCGCCATTGACACAAGATGGGACTGTTGCAATTAGCTTACTATACTATAGCGTGAAGATGAGGTTAGATTTGAAAATATTAGGTTCAAAGAATGAGTTTGATTGTAGACAAAACGGGTAGATAGGCGAATTTTGTACCTTTCTCAACCAAAAAAAGTCTTTTACCCAAAAAAAATAATTTTCTAAATTGGTGTTCTATTAGATTTTATATGGTTTAAATTAGTTTTTTTAATTTGTAAATCGAAGATAATTAAATGTTAACATATTTTAACATATAATTTTCATAAAATATCAATCAAATTAAAATTTTATTAATTATTTTATTAAAAACTTATGTGAACATTTTCGGATAAATTATATTTTTTGTGTGAAATTTATCATTTATGAGTTATTATTTTAAAATTTGATCCAAAATTAAGGGAGGTTTACGGCTTTAATGAAGGGAAGATTTTTAAGGAAACTGCATTGAAACTTCCTTTGTCGTAAATAGTGCAACGAAAGAATCAATCCAAAGTATTTTTTAAATATTTTTGTGTTCTTTATGATATATATGTCTTGTTTTTGTCTAAATAAATATAAATATTATTAGTCAAGAAAATAAATATAAATATATTATGTGTATAAATAATATTATTTGAATTTAAATCACTTAATAAAGATTTTTAATCTTTAACAATAAGATCACTCTAAAAATACCTAATATATTTTTATTTTCCCCTTTTATTGCAATAATATGCCACTTATATCACATTATTTATTATAAATTCATATAGATTTTTTTAATAGTCTAGTGTGATTATAAGATAATATTTGTTTAGAACTTTCTTAAACGCATACATACTCCACAAACAAATTGTTTCAACTTAGGACTCCAGAGAGAACAATACTCATTTAATCACTGAGGCAAGTTTTAAGTTCATATAATTATAAAATTACTTTTTGGTTTCCCCTAAAATGATAAAATTATGATATAATTTTTAACCTCGTCTATATTGATTATCATTATATCCTTCATTATAATAATAAATTTTAATTATAATTAGTCAAATATTATTTACAATTATACTTATAATTATACTTGTAACTTAAAACACAAAAAATCATATATATATATATATATATATATATATATTATATTTTAATGTTTTTGGATATTTTTCCTCTAAAATTGAAATTAAATCAAAACAAAAATATGTTTAGGTTTTTAAAGTTTCAAAATAATATTAATACAATATTATGGATGTATTAGGTAAAGAAATATATAATTTTTTAAAAAGGATATTAATCTACCTTAACATATAGATAAAACTTTTATTAAAATCTGAAATTTATCAATAAATGTTTTTTGAATGTATAAAATAGGAATGGCAACGGGTCGGTTTGGGTCAGGTTTGGGGCGGGTTTTGCTCGCCCCGTCCCCGAACCCAAAATGAATCCTTGTCCCCGACCCCGACGGTTTTTTTATCAAGGCGCCCAGTCGAGGATTTTTTTTGCCCCGTCTCCGAACCCGACCCGAAATATTATACCCAAACCCGAACCCAAAAATATTTTATATATATTATATAAAAATATAAAATATATATATATATATATATAATCGGGGCGGGCGGGGCGGGGATACCTTGCCCCGAACCCAAACCCGGCCTGAAAAAATCTCCGAAAATAATCCCTGAACCCGAACCCGACCCGAACTTGACCGGGTTTCGGATTTTCCCCTCGGGTTCGGGTCATACCATCCTAGGTTGGGATGTGGCAGCGGCGGAGGGGCGAGGGCTGTCGGCAGCCGTGGAAGCTGGAGCGGCGCCGCGTGGCCCTAGGGTATCAAACCCTAGGTTTCCTTCTGGCATCATCTGGACCGTTGGATCTTATCAGATCAACGGCTGTGAGCTGAGGCGGCTGATCAAATTAGGGTTAGGAAACCCTAACTAAAACCCAAATATTTAGGGTTTCTGGTTGGATTTGGACCGTTTTAGTTGGTTTGTAACTGGGCCGGTTTAATTGTAATTGGTTTGTAAATTTATTTGTATTTAAATTTTAATAAATTAATAATAATAATAATAATAATAATAATAATGATAATAATAATATTAATAATAATAAGGATAATAATAATAATAATAATAATATGGATAAAAAAAAATTTAGTATCTTCAGCTGCCCTTTGCTCATTCTTGTGTTAACAAGAATAGGGCAAAGATGAAAAGATAATAAATTTTTTATCCATTTGACTTTACTTTGATCATTATGGAGATATTGAATAAATTCTTCTTTTCTCCAAATAAGTTCTTCTTATTATGAACTTTTGCTGGGGGATGATGATGACCCCTTTTTTGTAGAGTCATTCAAAAGGTTGAATAAGCTCTTGATGATTCTTCTCATTATGAACTTTCTCTTCCTTCTTCAGATGAGTTCTTCTCATTATGAACTTTACCTGGCAATGTTGATCCATCAAATGATGAATTCAAGCAAAAGGTTGAACAAATTCTTCTCATTATGAACTTCTTCTTCCTTCTTCAGATGAGTTCTTCTCATTATGAACTTTCTCTGGAAAAGATGATTCACCAAATGATGGATTCAGGTAAAAGGTTGAACAAATTCTTCTCATTATGAATTTCTTCTTCCTTCTTCAGATGAGTTCTTCTCATTATGAACCTTCTCTGGCAATGTTGATCCATCAAATGATGAATTTAAACAAAAAGTTGAACAAGTTCTTCTCATTATGAACTTCTTCTTCTTTCTTCAGATGAGTTCTTCTCATTATGAACTTTCTCTGGAAAAGCTGATCCATCAAATGACGGATTCAAGTAAAAGGTTGAACAAATTCTTCTCATTATAAACTTCTTCTTCCTTCTTCAGATGAATTCTTCTCATTATGAACCTTCTTTGGAAAAGCTGTTCTATCAAATGATGGATTCAAATCTTTGCTAAAATCTTTGAAATTCCTGTTAAAAATTCAACATAGATGAAAATGAATGAAAATGCACCTATTTTTGTAAACACTTAAAATATGATGCATGAATGTTGAGTTATTTGATTTCAGATTGGTGAATTGAGTATTTCTTCAATTGTAAAAACCCAATAGATTTTCTTCTTCAAATGAAAGAAATCTATCATCTTTGACAAATGTAGATATAATGTCACAAAAATCTCTTGAATAAAATTCAATAGTATAGGCTCTTGAAAAGCTTGCATTCAGGCAACATGTTGATTCTGATAACAACTCATCTGATTATGAAGTAACCTTTCAGGATGATTTCACAGATATCGATAGTTCTTCTAATACCGAGAAATCTTGAATTCTGATTCTGATGAGGAGAATAAACTGTTATACTTGACAAAAATGTGATTCTCAGAAGCTGAAACTTCAAATAGCTTTCTTCCGGTAAAAGATGGGAAGCCATTATGTGATGATCCCAGTTACAAGCAAAGGCGAAACTTGTGCTATGATTTTTGGGAAAGGAATAAGCAAAAGAAGCTTGAAAAGAAACTTCTTAATGAAGAAGATCATGCAGTTCATCTTTTAATTCTAATGATTGGTTCTGTAGTTCTTACCAAAACAGATCAGATAACTCAAAGAACACTTCCAGAAGATGCTATTAGCAAATTCATCTTCCAAATTCAATGATTGGTTCTGCCAAACCAGATCAGATAACTCAAAGAACACTTCCAGAAGATGCTATTCTGTCTAACCAGATCAGATAACTCAAAGAACACTTCCAGAAGATGCTATTCTGTCTAACCAGATCAGATAACTCAAAGAACACTTCCAGAAGATGCTATTCTGTCTAACCAGATCAGATAACTCAAAGAACACTTCCAGAAGATGCTATTCTGTCTAACCAGATCAGATAACTCAAAGAACACTTCCAGAAGATGCTATTCTGTCTAACCAGATCAGATAACTCAAAGAACACTTCCAGAAGATGCTATTAGTCTCTTTCAATTAATGTTTGGACTAAGATATCACAGTGCTCATTTGATGTAGAGCCAAAATTTGTAGATTCGAAGCATTTCCATGCTACTATACTGAAAAGGCTATATTCATAATTTTATCAATTAAGAACAGAGTTTCTCTTATTCTGCTTCCTCCATGTGCTGATGCTTTTCCATTGACAAAGAAATGATGGCTTTCGTGGGATCCAAGAACAAAGTCGAATTGTTTATAAACATGTACAGGAAGTGCCAAATTGACAGAAAGGATCTGTAAGGCTTTTGAAGCTTATGACAATGAGCCAACTTCGAGCGTTCAGAAGTATGTTCTTGATGAGTGCTGAAAATGGAATCTAGTATGGGTTGGAAGGAATAAAGTTGCTCCACTTGCACCTGATGAGGTGGAAATGCTTCTAGGTTTCCTTAAAACCATATACAAGGATCTGTATAGAAATGTTTCCTAGTGATATCAATGTCTTGTTTCTTTGCTGGAATCAGTACTGCAAAGATCATCTTCTACTGTTTTAGTATATCTTTGAAAACAGATGTGCAAGAACTGAATGGTGATCGGTTGGAGCAATTGATGAGTA